TTTTTCATCATGGGAATTTTCCATGAACTTTACGAAGATTTTTTTTGTTTTTGGTATATATGTATTTCAAGAATTTTTTTTTCCTTAGCACCAAAAAGAAATTGAACTTCTATTTTCCACTAACTTCTTAAAATACCCTTGCAACTCCATTGCCCGTGATAATGCTGTCCCCATGGAAACACCAGATGCTCATTCCTCAGATGCCTCAAGGACAAAAGCCACCATCACTCTCCATTTGCCTATAGGGAGAGAAGCCAAATTCCTCACTGGCAGGCAAGGTGCCACGCTATCTTTCTACCTTATCTCCCTTTGGGCTCCAGCGCGACTCCTGTGTCCCAGACTGGCATGTCTGTGCGCCCTCTCCCCCAACCCGCAGGCTCACTCCCAATGCCCAGCCTGCCATCCATCCATGTTCCCACGGCCTACCAGGCCTTGCTTTCTCCTGTATGCAAAACTCAAGTCCTGTGTTACTACGGGATGGCTGAGCCTGCATGCCACAGAAGACCCTCCTGCATGAAGCACTTTAGACCTGGCCAGGCTTTGCGTCTCTCTGAGCCCAATGGCCCATACTAGTCCTGGAGTTCCACTCGCATATTACCGTGCAGGAACTATCACGCTGCAAATATTACGACCAGAGGAAGTTCACGCAATTTCCGTTTGATCCTGTCATGCCAAGACATGGGGGGGGGGGTGGCAACACAGCCTTTCACGGACAAAACGCATCATCCACCAAACACAACCGATCTTTGGTGCTCCCTGACACAGCTGCTCCTCCCCAAAGACACACTGAACAAGTGGCAGGTGTCTGGGCAAAAATTTACCAAGCTACTTTGGAGAGTTTGTGGACAAATATATGCTCAGAACACATTTCCCAAGAATCCAATCTGAAACACACACACACACACACACACACACACACACACACACACACACACACACACACACACGTAAGCACTTCACAGACATGGATTCCTGGCAACCCTTTGAGGTGGGCGTCACAAATCCCCTTTCACAGATGGGGCCACGGGGCCACAGGGCCACGGGGCCACAGAGCCAGGATTCAAAGCCAAGTGATGACCATCTGACCAATGAATGCATTGCACTTTTTGTCTTTGTTAGAAAAATCAATGCCTGCTAAGCACACACACACAAAAAAATAAATAACCATACAACAAGGTGGCGGAACGTCACTCACAATCGTCTCATCCAGGGAAGAATGAAATACCCGCTACAGCGTCTATACAAGCATAGACATTCGTTTCTGTCTCGGAAATGGCGCCACGTGCATGCATGCATGGTATTCCTTTTGGATTTTAACTCAAATACGTCCCCAGCGTCCCTCGGGGTGTAACTTACGTGTCACGGCACTGACTTGTCTTAACAGCAGTTAATTAGGATGCATTTGCAGACTGCTCCACGTACCTCCACCATCCCAGCTTCGATCCCGCCCTTGTTCCAGACTTCCTTTGCGCCGTCAGCAGTCACCCAGTTCCTCCCGATGCCTCGCTTCCTGTTGACCTGCCACACAGGGAGGGGACCACAGAATAAGGGCCTTGGACTCCAGCACCTTCTACTAAGCATGATGCCGTTCAGGGTTCGCCCGTGTTGTAACTTCAGTTACTCGTTCAGTGCATGAATGACTATACTACGATGCCTTTATTCAACAATTCAAGGCATTTTGATTGTGAAAGAAAAAAAGCTACTATATATTTTTTTAATTCTCATGTACCAATCCCCATGAACATGTACTTTCATTTCTCCAAGGAAAATACATAGGAATAGAATCACGAGGTCTTAGGGTAAGTTTTCAAAAAATACTCTATGTGGGCCCGGTGCGGTAGTCTAGTGGCTAAAATCCTTGCCTCGCATGCGCTGATATCCCATAGTGGCACCGGTTCGCATCCTGGTTGGCCCCACTTCCCATCCAGCTCCCTGCCTGTGGCCTGGGAAAGCAGTCAAGGATGACCCAAAGCCTTGGGATCCTGCACCCATGTGGGAGACCCTGAAGAAGCTCCAGGCTCCTGGCTTTAGATTGGCTCAGCTCTGGCTGTTGTGACCATTTGGGGAAAGAATCAGCAGAGGGAAGATTTTTCTGTCTGTTCATACAACATTACATTCCCATAAACATCATACAATGGTTCTATTTCTCTACATCCTAGCCAACGTTCGCTAACACGTCCTTCTTCTAATGACTGATATATCAGTGGAGAAGAAATGATATTTCATAGTGATTTGACTTATAATTCCCTAGTTTTTGATGGTTTTTGAGCATCTTCCCTCGTGGCTACTGGCCATTCAGATACTCTCTGATAAAACGACTAGTCCAATCCTTTGCCCGGTTTTTTTTTTTTAAAGATTTATTTTTATTATTTTTTTATTGGAAAGGCGGATATACAGAGAGGAGAGACAGAGAGGAAGATCTTCCGTCCCATGATTCACTCCCCAAGTGAGCGCAACGGGCCGATACTATGCCGATCTGAAGCCAGGAGCCTCTTCCGGGTCTCCCACGTGGGTGCAGGTTCCCAAAGCTTTGGGCCGTCCTAGACTGCTTTCCCAGGCCACAGGCAGGGAGCTGGAAGGGAAGGGGGGCTGCCGGGATTAGAACTGGCGCCCATATGGGATCCCGGGCGTGCAAGGCGAGGACCTTTAACCACTTGTGCCACCGCGCCGGGCCCCTTTGCCCGGTTTTTAATGAACTCAGCTCTGAGTATAGAAATGTAAGAAGCACAAGCCTAGGCATTGTGAAATTTGAAGAGGCCCAACATTTCAACAACTTTTCCTTTTATCAGCTGCGTTTTCTTGGGACTGGCGCGGTGGCACAGCGGATTCAGCTGCTGCTGGCAGCACGGGCATTCCGTATGGGCACTGGTTTGTGTCCCCACTGCTCCAACTTCCAATCCAGCTAATGCAAGGGAGAAGGTAGCCAAGGATGACCCCGGTGCCCGGTCCCCTGCACGCATGTGCAGATCAGGATCAAACTGTGGCCTGGCCTCGCCCTAATATTTGGAGATTCTTCTGTCCTCTCCCCCTCTCTGTTTAATTCTGCCTTTCAAATAAATAAATATATCTTTTTTTTTGTGAATCAATCCCCCACCTTATTGGTACATCTTAAACATATTCTTCATTATCATGCTTGTGGCCCTTGTTTCTGGAAGAGAGAAAAGGGCGCCCTACTTGAGCACCCAGTAGGTGTTCTTCTCAGGGCCAACCCCCGTCCTTGTTACAATGTCTGGGACCTCCTTGGTGGTTTCTGGCTGAAAACCACAGAGACAAGGGACTTCAGGACACGTTTCTCTTTCAATGTCTTCAGCACACAGATTCCTAGCACATTTTCAGGGACAAATCCCTCCATCAGATTCCAGCAATGTGATGCGTATAAGGAACGCCTATTTCCTGGTCATTTGGGGTTTAACCGGTGCTTCTCCCGGGAAGCTACTTTCTTCTCGAAAGCCGGACTGGTCCTCAGGAAGGAAGGACTCAACTCTAGCGCATCTATGACTACGTCAGTATAGGCAAAGAAAATGGTGGCTCTCCCTGCCGCTGGCGGGAGAAGCTCAGTGGCTCTGCGGGCTGGGTCCGGTGAGATGCTCAGTGGAGAAGCAGGCCAGGCTGATTGGACTAACCAGCACCCTAAACAGGAGGCCGAGAAACTGGAAGGAATGCAATAACCAACGCTGGCTGAATACAGGCCACTGCCAAAGTTAGGGAGCTGGCACCCAGCAAGTGTGTACCAGTGAGGGAGACCTTTCAAGACAGCAGGTCGTCCAATGATGGAGGGATGCAAGAGGGGGGATCATTAAGCTATAATCTCAGCCACGAGAAAACCAGAGACCAAGCCAAGGCAAGGAGGGAACACTCTAAAGCAAGACGAAGGGCCGGCCTTAGGGCACCACATGGACGCTTTGCCAGAAGAACTGGGGGTTTGGAACGGGCCTTCTGTATGAGCACAGGGAGACAGGTCTGGCAAGGGCCAGGAGTTCAGGGTGGGAGCCCTGGGGGAAGCTTCTAAAATGACTAAAGTTTTTTTTTTTTTTTTTCTTTTAAGGGCACAATTTCCCGACAGTCAAAATGCTCAAGTTTTAGGTTTTTTTTTTTTTTTTTTTTAAGCAATGAAGACCTGTTTTTGCATCTCTGCTCCATCTGTCTTAGTAAAGCAGTTTCAAAAACACAGAAGCCCTGTTCCCTCCCCTCCCACCACGCACCCCCAAGTGAGATGCGCCCAGGGGCTGGATGAGACAGCCGACCTCCAAGGAGACTCCTGTGAGTAGAGGAGCTTGGTGGCCAGAAGGGCTAGGAAAAAAAAAAAACCAATCTTGGACATTCTGGCCCATGTCTGAGACCCCCACCCTGGGGGGTTCCCATGTGCTAATAATTAAGGCCGAGGCTTCTCTTGTTCCAGACCTTCGTACCCCATTCTAGGCCCACCTGCAAGATTTGCCCTTTCGAATTCAGACAATGTGGGGGGGAGGGGAGGGCGTTGGACGACCCCACGGGGTGACGGGCTGCACCTCCTCCACGCAGCACAGCAGCACGCTGCGGGGGTGGGGGTGGGGGGAACCGTGCTACCACGGGGAGGTCGTGGGTGGGGCCACGATGTACCTTCCCGTGTGTTTGCAGACCTAGCAGCCCAGCCCGGTGCAAGCTTGCACTCGGTGGGAGAACAAGGGGGGGGGGCAAGACTTGGGGGAGACGGAGGGCGTGACCACGCACCCTCTCCCGCCGACCGTCTGGGGAACGTTCTGAAATGTAACCACCAGTTCTGCGCAGCGCGCGCACCAAAAGCAAAAAAAAAAAAAAAAACAGGGACAACCCCCCACCACTCCTGGCGTTGCGCGTCCAGACCTCGCCACTCGGCCACTCGCGCTGTACCTCCGGCTGCGGCGCACACGCATCCTCCTCCTCCTCCTCCTCCTCCTCGGCAGCCTCGCCGTCGGTTGGGTACCTCGCTTGCAGCGGTGCCCCAAGCGGCCAGAGAGTCTACTGCTTCAGCTTGGGATACCATGCCCAACGAAGAAGCATTCAGCAAGCCCCCGACGCCGTCGGAAGCCCCGGGGGCTCCGCCGCAGGGCAAGGCTGGAGGCTTTGGCAAAGCAGCCGGAGGTTCCAGCACCGGGGGCGGCGGCGGCGGTTCCGGGACGACTGGCACGGGCTCGGGGAACAAGAAGTCCCCGCGACTGCCCAAGTGTGCGCGCTGCAGGAATCACGGCTACGCGTCGCCGCTCAAGGGCCACAAACGCTTCTGCATGTGGCGCGACTGCCAGTGCAAGAAGTGCAACCTGATTGCCGAGAGACAGCGCGTCATGGCCGCGCAGGTGAGTGCCAGGGCCCGGGGAACCGGGGGGCTTGGACGAAGTCCTGCAGCGTGGCCCGCGCCGCGCGGGTCACCCGGCTTTGGGGAGGGACGTGGCGCGCTCTGCGTCCGGCGCGCCCGGGACGCTAACCCCGCTTCCCGTCGGTGGGCTCCCAGTCTCGCCCTCCAGAACATTTGGGGGAGGAGGGAGTTCGGTCCTCCGTAGGGGACCCCACGAACGCCAGGAACACCGCGCAGAGACTCGGCTCCTACAGGTTTGGGGTGGGCTCCCCACTATCTCCAAGGTTCTCAGGGTATCCGAACTCTCCGTGGTTCCGGCAGGGTTCGCTTCGCCACCCGTTGGGGGGGCAGGTGGGGAGGAGGAGGACCCGCTTTTGAGCACGGTTGTGGGGTTCGCCATTATGACTCTCAGTCGCGCAGTAGGGTCTCGGGGTTCCCCTTCGCTCGACGGTACCCGGCACCGCGAGGATTTCAGGGTTCGTCCCTTCGGGAGTGCGGTCTCAAGCCGCCCTCCAGGACAAGTTTGGGGTTCGGCTGTTGAAGGTGGGGCAGAGAGGGGGGTCCCCAAAACCTCCCGCCGTGTTCGCGTTCGCAGAGGTGAGGTCGCTAAGTTCGCACCCCTCGGGGGTCCCGGGGGTCCCCGGCATCGCGCCGTTGCGTTGCGCTGAGACAAGGGGGAAGGGTGCCCACGCGCACCTCACCGTTAGAGCGACTTGGGGTGACGAGGGCCGCCGGGGGTGCCGCGTCCGAAGCCAGTTTGTTCTGGAAAAAGTGCGCGGCGTTCTGGAAAGCTCCGGCGCGCCAGCGTGTTCGGCGGGGCGCACGGGGCGCACGGGCGCAGGTTTCAAGTAGCCGCCACGAGACACGCGGCGCGTCACAGCCATTTTGAACGCACGGGAGCTTCCGTGCGCGCTTAAAACTCTGCACTCTCCCGCCCAGCTTGCTCGGACTGCATTTTAAAGCAGGCGTGTGCTTTTTACGAAAAAAAAAAATAAAAATTAGAAATTTTAAAAGCGCCCGGGGAAGTGCGCGCTTTTTTTTTGGCGGCCGTTGGCGCCTTTTTTTTGTTTTGTTTTGTTTTGTTTTTTTAAAGCTGTCCGCCTCTGGGATAACTTAGTTCGCGTCCTTGGCTTTCTGAAAAAGGACTTTTTAGTGCTCGATAGCAGACATTCCCACCCCCCACACCCCCCCGAAGGTTGCTTCGCCTTTTTAAGACAGGTTATTTAAAATAAAAAGATAACAAATGCTTGCTAGTGCTGTGCAGAGTTCGGTTTCTTGTGTAAGAACGGTGAATAGAACGCACGGATTCCTAGAAAGCCCGTACTCACGACCCGAAAACGAAATGTGTGTTTTAGGTGTTGCGAGTGTATTTAAGAAAATGGTTGTTTTCCCTCCTGGGTTTAAGGCAGCGTGGGAGAAAACACCACACATGAAGTTAAATGGTGCACAAGGAACTTTTGGAAAAAACTTGTAAAGTTACGGCTAGAAAAATCTTCTCGACCCTTAGTTGCTGGTTTAAATATTTAGCGTTGGGAGGAGTAGATTTGGAGGTGACTCTCCCCCCCCCCAAAAAGGTAATATTGATATAACTAGAGGCATTAGGCTAAACTTTGTTAATAGAGTGACTAACTTTGAGAAGGCTGTGTATTAAAAACGACTCCAGGATCATCTTACAGTGTGAAACTATTTTTCCAATTTCAGAAGAGTTGTACTGTACTAGATGAATTTATAATAATTCATGAAATAATGACTGCTCAGTCATCCCAATTTGAAATTGCGAAAAAAAACTTCACTTGAATTTCATCTTAGGTAGGAAATGTGTGAGTCTAACGTAATTGCATCTTTACTCAGTTGCTCCCCTACGTGGTTTTACTAACATTTCCTTAAAAAATGAGCAAATCTTGTGAAGATGTGTTTAAGAAAAAAAAAAAAAAGATTTTGAGGCTTTAAATTGAGTGTAAATACGTGCTGACACACTTCAGAAGTTTGCCGGGATTTTAAAACTTCTTTTCTTTTTTATTTTTTTTATTTTATTATTTTTTTTAAACTTCTTTTCCGACCTAAGCTGTTGGTAGCGTGATTCACTTAATAAAATCCAACATTTGAGTTTAGTCTAATGTTAATAGGTTGTTTTTTTTTTTAAGTTCTTGTTTTGAAGACTCCTGAGTATGAGTAAAATCTACTTTATTTTAATTAGCTGTTTTTAAAGTTTGCACTGCCCTCTCCATGAAGGAATGTAACCGTGTTTTGTGGCTGGTCTTGGGGGGCCTCTAAGGTTCACGGTATACAACTTTCTTATCTTATCCCTTTAAGGGTTAGCTGCAGCCAGGTTAAAAAAAAAAAGCCATTTACTTTCTTCAGTCTTTTTTCCGACCTTTAACGATGTAATTTAAGAGACCACAAGGTGAGGCAGGCGCAGGTGGAGCTTCCTACCTGTGTCAGGCTCCTTGGGGCTCCTCCTCCCTGCTGTGTGCAATCTTGCCACCTGCTGCCCCTCCTCTGTCCCTCCAGCGCCCCCCACCCCTCTACTGGGAAAAAGGGGCTCTGTGCAGTCTCCTCAGCTGGCCCTGCTTCTGCAAGCACACCTTGTTCCAGAATTTTCCAGAATGTTCTCCCAGAATGGGCTGGCCCTTGGAGATTGGCTTCAAATACTGGCTGATTTCTGCTTTGCAAAGGTGCTTCCTGACCCTGAATATCTTCTGCAGGGTTTGGGTGTAGCTCTTGCTGGGGGGGCTGGGGGGGGGGCTTTGGTTCCTGTCCTGTAGTGGCTGCCTGTTTGCCAACCTCCTGTTGGAACTGTGGCTGAGAGAGAGAGAGAGAGAGACAGTGTATGTTCTCCCTCCTCCCTAAGCTGGGAGTGCTCCCCATGTGTCTTGCTGCTTTCCTAACTTATTTCTGGAGATGTGCTGTAGCCCCAATACCTGGACTCCGCCCGCTTTCTCAGCTGGGACTATGTGCGGTTAGAGGCCCCGGGACCTTGTGAACCTGCCGAGGGATGACTTCCGCTCCTGTGTTGGCAGGTGGCCCTTAGGAGGCAGCAGGCCCAGGAGGAGGAGATGGGCATTAGCCACCCGATCCCGCTGCCCAGCGCCGCCGAGCTGCTTGTCAAGAGAGAGAACAGCGGTGCCAACCCGTGCCTCCTGACCGAGAGCGGCAGCTCCTCGCAGCCGCCACTGCCGCCCAGCACCCCAACCACTATGGCCGCAGGTAAGGGATTGCTGCGGAGGCGACCGGGAGGGTGGCAGGGAGGAAGCTGGTGACGTGGTTGGAGCGCGCCTGAAGGCCACCTGCTCCAGAGCTCGCTCACGCCTCTTGACTCCAGTGTCGCCCTGGAGGGTGGCTGCAGTGGCTCAGGGGGTCTCCTAGCCACGGTGGCTCTGACAGAGTGAGGTCAGGTGTAAGGGTTGCCATATTGAGTAGCGCAGTGCCCTCTCATTGCTCGGTGGCCTTGGTGTGAGGGCCTGGGCAGTGTGGTTGTTGCTGGCTGTTGGGGACCACAGTCCCAGCTGCTCCTTGGGCCGTGTGTGCCAAAACCCATTCACTGAATGCATGAAAGCATGCATGAACCTGAGCCCTGGATGGGCCCTTTTTATGCGACACTGCACATGCCCACTCCGGCACACTGAAAGATTTACACTCATGATTAAGATTAAAATAGAACAATTGCGACAGCCTGTGTAATAAAGTTATTTAAAACGTGTGGATGGTTTATTTCTGCAATATTCCACATAATATTGATGTACCGCTGTGGCCTGAGCACAGTACCTGGAACCATGGATGAGGTAGGTATGCTGCTGTGTGGGTACCCAGGAGGGTGCTCACACCTCGAGGTGGGGTGCCACCTGGCCGGGCATCAGCTTTGTGTCACCAAGTGACCAGGCAGCACTGAACAAGGCCACAAAGTTCCCTGGGTGAGTCCTGGCTGCCCAGGCCAAGAAGAGAAGCAGGTACCGAAGGCCACACGTAGGTGGGAGGGACAGAGAGGAAGCTCAGAGTGGCCAGGAGGGACCTGCTGGCTATCTCAGAGCTGGCAGAAGGGAGAGACACACACACGAAGACGTTGCGGGGAGGGAGCGCGAGGGTTCAGGGTCAAGGGGAATGGAAGCACATTCTCTTGTGTGCCTCTGCAGCTGATAGCCTTGGAAAGGAAGCTGGAAGCCAGGAGTGTGAGCCAGGAGTTTGCCGGCTTGGGGACACGTTTGCCCTCAGAGGAGGAGTCTGGGCCCCCCCCCTTGGCACAGGACGTCCATCGGACCCCCACCTAAGGTTGGGATGTGTGGAGGAAGTCAGCAAGCACCCCAGGATTACATACCCCTGGGAGAGGTGCCCGGATGCACATTTGTATAATTACCTATTGAATATAATGGGAGCGCATTGTTCCCACTGATGTGTTATTAGCATTTTTTTTTTTGTTCCATTTGTAACAGGCTGGAATTTCTAGCGGCTTAGAAGGCCATCCTGTGCAGGTGGGAAGCTAGGATTTAAATTAGAGGCAAAAGTTACAGCTGTGACGACAGTAAAACTGAGCGAGCTGGCCTGTCTGGGGTCAAGTTGTTCACCTTTTTACTACTTGATGTTGCCTAGGCCAATAACACATTTAGGAGGTTTTTATGTCCTTGAAATTTCTTAGTTATCTTGCCCTCCTGAACGTGCCAAAAATAGGGAGTGAGGGCTGCTGAAGCAGTAAGGCTGTCGTTCTGCCTCAATCCTCAGTGGATCGGGAAGGAGCCTGGCTCCGAAGTGGTGCTCTGTTGCTGAACAGTTCCCCCAGGAGTTGGAGGTGTGAGATAAGCTGCACCTGCGACCCTCAGGCCACTCCCTGGCATGCCCGCCCCAGTTCCAGGCTCAAGGCCTGGCTGGACCACCACTTCTGATCCTGCACCCCTTTGCAGGGACCTGGGAAAGCCACAGAGCATGGCCCAAGGGCTCCTGCCATCCGCCTGGAGACCTGGACGGGATTCCTGGCTCCCCAACTTAATCCTGGCTGAGTCCTGGTGGCTGTTTGGAAGAGTGAAGACTTATTTGCATCTCTCTCTCTCTCTCTGTTGCTCCTTCTTTCAAGTAAACATAATACATCTTTCAGTAGAGGAAAAAGTTCCTATCATCCTTAGCTAGTTTTTGGCTAAGACTAACTAGATAATCCTTGACTAATGGGTATAAATGAAGGTTTTTGGTTGATTTCGTCCATGACTGTGGAAGGAAGGAACCTTTCGAAGAAATTCTGTTTATTGCTACGACCAGCAGGATCGGCTGTTGCAGCCACACTGTTGGTCTCTGCCCGCCTATTTTGGGGATGCCGAGGGGGACAAAAAAAAAAAAAGAATATTTTTGGGCCATCTATGACAATCAGCAGCAATTTTAGCATTTTGCCTGTAGTTTCCATAAAAAATTATATATATATTTTTTAGTCTGACTTCTGCATCTTTATTTCAAGAATCATCAGCTGACTTAAAAACAGTGTGATGTTTTATTGCTCTTGGTAAATTTGCCCTCCTGTCGGGCTATTGCATCTTCTCCTTTTGCCTCAGTGACCTGTGTTCCCTTAGGTCCCCTGCACTTCCTCTCAGGTCTGCCTGGTCCTGGGCCTTTGCCCTCCTTGCCTGAGCTGTCAGATGAGGGGCTGCATCGTCATGAAGACCCTCCTGCACGCGTGTCCTTTGTCGGGACCTGAATGTTAGGTGTGCTGGGCCCTGGAGACTGACCCCCTCCCCCAGGCCAGCCACCTCCTACCGAGGTGCCCCCTTGCCCTGCCCCTCACCTCCGGCCTCTCCTGTGGCCTTTGGCTTGTTGGCAAGGGTCGGCTATGTTTGTACCTGCCAGCAGCCTTTCCAGTTTCAGCACCAGGTTTCTAAGTGCCTGAACGCTTCACAGATGATTTGGAAAGGGAATAGCATCCCAGTGTCGCTTCTGTGTCATGTTTATTTCCGCCTGCTGCAGAGGCAGAGTGATACCCGGACAGGAGCAGAGATCATGGGTGTTCAGATGTAGCCCAGCAACACTGGCCCGACGAGGCTCCGTCACATCTCCCCTGTGAGGGTCAGGGGCCAGCACACTTGAGCCATCGTCCGCTGGTCCTCCAAGGTGCATTAGGAGGAAGTGAGGTTGGAAGTGGAACAACCGGGACTCAGAGCAGACGCTCAGATGAGGAGACAGGCTGAGGCAGTATCTTAACCTGCTCTACTACAACACCCAGTCACTGCTGCCCTGTTCCAATCCTCTTCCTTCCCCTCCCGCCCCCCATCTAGTTTTTACCAGATAGGGCCAAGGAATGAACTGTTGACAACCAGTCCTTTCCTTTCTTTTAGAGTGGGTTTAGGTTCACAGAGAAATTGCAAAGAAGATCGAGACTCTGCCTAACTTCTGGCATTATGCACCAGCTCCCCTCTGCCCAGAGCCCTGCCAGGGCTGGCACCGCTGAGCCTGCCCTGCCACAGCCTCCCACCCACTTTCCAGAGGGTCCCTTCTGGGTGGTGGACACGGGTACTGGACAAAGCTCCTGGAAGGTGGACTTAAGAGATAAATGTAGTGCAAAAACAACAACCAGAAAGTGGAATCTATGCATGTTTTTGGTTATATGTATTTTTTCATAAAGTTCCCTAACGTGCATGAATATTTTCACATTCCGAAAAACTGACCAAATCTTTGGAAAACTGTTTCCATCATTATGGTGTCACAGAGGATGATTCTACTTAAAAAAAAGCAACCCTAAAATTTCTCTCTGGGTTTACTTTTAACATAACATCTCAACTTTAATTTTTGTCATTTTCCAACACTAAAGAAAACTATCCCACTGAGCGATAAGGCAGTTGAATTGGGAGTTTGTTTTGGAAGGATTCTGGCCATTTAACATGAGCTCTATTCGCCTACACCCAGATTCCTCGGTTGCAAGTGGAAGGTTAGGAAGGAGGTGATGGGAGGTTTGAAAAAAGCCTTTACTCAGAAGCATTCTGTTTTTAACTTCCAGTGTCCAAAGAAATTTCTAGAACGTCCAACATGCTTCCTTAAAACAGAAGCAATACTTGGTGGCTCTGAAGCACGAAAACACTTAAAAATTACATCAATCATTTTGGTAGTCTATTGTTTTAAATAACGTCTCATTCTATTTTATTGCAAGGGTCAGCTTCCCTGTCAAATGTGGTTTAATTGCTACGCTTGAAATTGTCTGTATAATATAACAATACAGAATAAGTAATCCACTACTCTACCTAGAAGAAAAATCTAGATTCTATCCAGTGTTGTAAAAATACCGATCTCAGAATTGCAAGTTAATTTTTTTTATAAAGATTTATTTATTTTTATTGGAAAGCCAGTTATACAGAGAGGAGGAGAGACAGAAGATCTCCTGTCTGATGGTTCACTCCCCAAGTGAGCACAATGGCTGGAGCTGAGCCAATCCGGAGCCAGGAGCTCATCTGGGTCTCCCACACGGGTGCAGGGTCCCAAGGCTTTGGGCCATCCTCAACTGCTTTCTCAGGCCACAAACAGGGAGTTGGATGGGAAGCGGGGCCGCTGGGATATAAACAGGCGCCCATATGGGATTCTGGCGCGTGCAAAGCGAGTACTTTAACCACTATGCTATTGTGCCGGGCCCTCCAAGTTAATTTTATGATTGACCATGTAAAAGACTTTAAGGGTGGGCCCATCATCGTAACTTAGCGGCTAAAGTCCTCGCCCTGAACGTGCAGGATCCCATATGGGAGCCAGACCTCCAGCCATCAGAACGTAAGCGTGTTGGTGTTGGGTGCCATTTTGTTTTGTGTTTGCTAAACACATCTGAGGTTTTAAATGTGAAAAAATTCAAAGCTGATTCTTTTTTGGAAGGTCTAAGGTCTAATTCATGTAGCTTAAAAGTAGTGTGATCAGAATGTACTGCGTTGTTCTCGAGAAAGTTGGCAGAGAAGTTCAGGTAAAAACCTGGATCTGATTTGGGAACATTTTTGTCTCTACCTAAGATGAATCAGATGAATCTTGGGCCCCTCGGTGGTCACCCCTCTTCTGCTCGTCAGGGCTGCCTTAGGCAACCACAGTGTATTCTCTGTGTATCTCTTGGCCTGAGCTTTTCAGCTCAAGGAACCACCTGTTGTATGGAGTTTCACATCTGGGTTCTTTCACTGCACCTGCTGTTGGCACGGTTTACTCGTGTTATAGCATGCCTTGCGTTTTATATTACTACTCCTTTTGCTTTCTGAGTAATGTTGCAGTGCAAG